GGATTTGGTCACTTAAGCAACAGCCTGTATTTGTCCACTGTCTCACCAAACACACTTCCCTGGAGCAAGCACTACAGCTGTGATTCTGCAATATTAGGCTCACCACACACAAAAGAAATTTAATAGTCAAAACATGCATTATAAGTTCTAAGAGAAATTTGTGACTCACTCAGCTTTTTCTAAGCAACAAGAAAAATCACATTTCAGATATTGCTCTAAAATCATATGTAAGATAATCCTTCAGAGATGCAGAACACACTTTTCTGAAGCCAAAAGTCTATGGGCCTTTCTTCCCAAGAAAATTCCTCTGTGCAAAGGCACTTAAAACTTTCCAGCAAGCTACAGGGGGAGCTGCTGAAGGTCATCCAGAGACTAGTCCAGGCAGCTGGAGAGCAGCTTCAGGGAGCTGCCCCATGGACCAGAACACAGGGGATCAGAGCCAGCCCTACACTGCACTTGTTCACATGTTCTGAGGGAGTCCTTGTTGAGAGTCTGCACTCAGTACTTCCACTGTCTCATTCTCACCCCAGCCCTGCTCAAGACAAGGTAGCTATGGCCTTCTAGCTACCCAGTTACATTTGCATGTCATTTCGTATTCCACTGCAATCCGATTGACATTTCAGCTACAAGCCAAATGCTTGTTCATGAAAACCGTGCCTTTAAACCCTTTGTCATATGGACTCAGCAGCAATGACTCCAAACTTGACACCATCTATTCCAGTACACGTTGCAGGTCTAAAGTGCTCACAGCAAGCACCCTCCCAGGGAGCCTTACCACTCAAAGGTACGCACAACACAGACCTGATGGCATCTCACTGCCCCTCAGAAAATGGCACTAGAACTATTCAGGCAACTGCATCCTGATGGACAGGTTAACCTTTGATTTCTGGATCATTGCCAATGAACAGATCTACACAACAGATGCTGGGACATGAAATAGCCCAAGTCTGGCTTGGGATCTGAGAATGTCCCACTGCTTTCCTCTCGTCACTCTTTGCTTTCCTTCTTTTCCTTGCTATGAAAGTAGGCATCTAGAGGATTATCTTGATAATCTGGGCTGCCTTCTCTACCTCCTCCCAGACTGTTTCCTCTCTTGAGAAAGTCAAGGAGCAAAGAGTTACTTGTCACCTTCAGCCACTTGGCCTTCCTAATGGAATGATTGGTTCTGGCATGGTGGCTCTATGACAAGACCAGTCAGGAGGCTCTGAGAAGCTCTAACTACAGGCATATCCTCCAACTTCCCCTGAGGAAATGGGATTAATTTCCTGCTGTGGAGGCTGGAGTAGCATCACAGAATTAGGGCTGGGGCAAAAAAAAAAAAAAAAAGAGTCTCCTATGTTCTTTCTGGCTTTAGGAGCATGCAAGCAACTGGGAAGCCACAAAGGTGACCAGTTGCATGAACCTCTTGCTCTTTGAGAATGGAAAAAGTGAGGTTTCTGAAAGGGTTGCTGCTGGTACACATTTCCTTTCCACTGATTCTTTTACTGAAAGAGGCTATGTCATCTCCCTGTAAAACTGAGGAGGGGGAGTATTCTCAAACATTTGTCAATGGTTACTGTGAACTCCCCCAATGTGCCATAAACAAATGTAAACAGTAGACATTCAAAAAATGTACAAACACAAGCCGCTGTCCACCAAACTAACAAGAAAAGACAAAGAAGAGGATATTAAACTTATAAATAGGATTCTCTGTGGACAGATAGTTTGGGAAATGTTTATATGTTGTTTTCTTTATTATTTGAGGGGATTTTTTCCCTAGCTTCCAGAAGTTGTGGAACTAGCATTTATAGGCTTAACATTTTAAGATCAAAGAAGAGAATTCGCAACCTCTCAAGCTCTTCAACTCCACTTAATTGGTTCTGCATCTGGGGAGAGTATCTTCCCACTGAAATAATTTGTAATCACATCAACGTACTTGAGTGCCTAAAGTCAGGTAACCTGGAACAGAATAACTTCAAAATGGGTGGGTGGGTGAGGTCCAAGCGCTGCAATTTGCAAATAAACCAGCAAATGTGATGATTTCTTGGCAAAGAGTTGTAGTCGCCTGGGATGTTGCTTTCAAAACCATTTGCTTTGGACCTACTGACTTTTAACAGTGAGGGAGATAGAGTGAGAAGAGTAACAATCACTGGTCTACGTTACCGACAGGCTCTTTTGTGACAAATAATGAGTCACCAACAAGCACAGGAAGCTATCATTCACCGGCCCCTCACCCACCACATATCAGCTTAGGATTTACTATTGGCATTTAATGCCCTCCACTTTTCACCTGTTACCAAATGGTGCTCGTCGTCAGGTCCCCAAAGCCATGCAATCTTTTCATTTAATGGATGCATTTCCAATTGCCCCAACTATATGAATGGGCTGGGATTCTGAAGACAAAGAAGAGAAACAGCACCAAGTGTGCACAGAAAATCAGGAAGGGCGAGTGAATTATGGCAGGCGGAGGCTGCAGTGAGGTGACGCGCAACTACCGAGGGCAAGAGGGAACGTGATTTAGTGGAGACACAATGGTTCTGCCCCCCTATTAAATCACTTCCCTTGTCACCTCTCTGTAGCTGCCAGAGCCTGAGTATTTCTGGCTTCCGAGGAAAAGCTGTCATATCTTAGGGAGCCCATCATAAACAGAACTCTCCAATCTCAAGAGGGATGACCGGGCAATCTTGTCATGGTATCTTCTAAAATCAGCTGAAGCCAGCTTAAATTTTTTTGTAATGATCCTGGCTCCCAGGCACAAGGCCATGGCCCGATTCTTTATTCAGAAACATCTGATAGAAGTCACCATGTATTCTAGGTTTTTATGTTCTGTGGGTCCCCCATGCTACTTACCAGTCCATGCCACTATTCTGGACTTGGCTACTTCTCACTCCAGTAGTGGTAGGAGATCAGCCTCCCATTCTTGCTTTCAGGTTATTGGAATGAGTGATGATAGAAGGTGTTTAAAATGACAATTCCGAATGCTTCCTGGCTGTCTGAAGGCTGGTGCTTATCTGTCACACACCTTCCCCATTACTCACACTTTTGTCAACCGGATTAAATTACTCCCGTGAAGAAATCTGGGGCATTTTCAATTCAGACGCCTAGGGCCATCTATCTTCAGCCAGCAGAATGCGACGATGTAAAGTTGGGCTCGAACGGTGAGGTCAATTTGGGCACGAATGGTGAGGTCAATTTTAGCAATCAGTGGTTGCAAAGGAAATCTCAGACTATGGTGACAGCCTTTTTGCACCACTCACAAAGTCCCTTGCTCCGGTTCTGTGCCTCCCAAGGAATGTTTCCCGCTATAAGGTCGGTGCCCACATAAGTAGGCTAACTCCAAGATGAGGGCAGGACACACCACTTCAAGTGTCACTCAGATGTATTTTTATCTCCCACTACAGAATCATGTGTTGGAAGCCCAGATTTTCTCTTGCTGCTCATCAGAGAGGAACTAAGCACTGTTGCCAGCACTAGAGATGTTGGTGAGAAGGCTTGGTTGGTTTCATTTTATTTTCAAAAGGAACTTTGCTACCAAGATAACTGAGGTGCATGAAAGAACCTTATTAAATAGATCACCAAAGGAACTAAATAGTGTCTTTATTCCTAGAGTGGCTTCAAGGAAAGGTTAACCCTGGAGTCCACCAGAATCACAACTCTGTCACTAACATGGAATCAGATTCCCTGCGGGTGATGCAATTTCTGTTTCATTTTCCTCTTCAGAACAAAGTAACTGCCCTGTGGATACAGATGTGAATAAATATAGCCAAGCACCTGCACCCTGCAATGCTAGAACTCCTTGTACATGGTCCATCCACTGCTCCTATACCTGGCCTTCTCCATCCTGGGAAATAAGCAGGTGGTGCATCATGTTCACCTCCATCTTGTCCCAGCCCCTGCAAGGGGCCGTGCACAGTTGGGGGATCAAAGAATTATTGCTTAATTCTTGCTTCCTCTCCCTCTCCAGAAAGAGCTGATAAATACAATTGCATTTTGGCCTCTCGACTATCCACCTGGATAGAGAAGAGAGATGGGCTAGGGCTGTTACAAGGTCTGAGATGAATACCGCTTCCCCCATGGGCCGCCTCTAATTCGGGAAGGGTCTTTCTGCCCATATCTTTCTCCTTAACACACAGAAGCCGTGTATTCCACTAGGAGCAGCAGGAGTTGCAAGAGAGATCACCTCTGTCTACCAGGAATGGACAAACTCCCTCTTCTTCCCCTACCTGTTGAATTCTGACTCACTGCTAAGTGACCCAGGAGACACTAATTGTCATGGGTCCCCAATGAGGTCAGAGGTGTGCACCTGCTTCAGCGGGGCTGGCCTTTCCCCCTCCCCCAACCAAACCTTTCAGGGTCTGTGGAGGTGAAGGCTCTATCACCTGGGCCTTCCAAAAGCGGCAGCAGCAAAGCTAATCAGGGATGCTTAAAGTCTGCCCTATGGTGGAGAGATACTGATTAGTGCCCCCAGTGAAGAGGTGCTATAAGCCATGGTTCAAGCGAATGTGGCTTCTTGACTGGCGCTTTTATTTGCATCCCGCAAAGGGGAACCCTGCGGTGATCAAGAAAGACTTGGAGCTGTAACATTTCTACCCAAGAAGCCACCCCACTGTCCAGGACACGGCCAGCTGCGGAGCGCCCCAGGGCCCTGGAACCTCATGACCGCACAGGGGGAGTGACCCAGTGATCCTTTCCACCTCCGCCTGTTCTCCAACACAGAGAGCTCCAGGGACTGGCCCAAGCAAAGGTAAAGAAAGAGATAAGGGTTTCAAGATAGGTTCTGTAGGTCACCCCCAGAGGCACGCCAAGCGCACCCTGTGGGCTTCCTTTCTTCGTAGTTAAAATGGGAATGATGTCACAAGAAATGATTCACCGTGGAATCAGCTAGGCATGAGCCCTGACTAGCATTCGCCCACAATGGGATGTGCCTGGGGAACAACAGGTGAGGCCCGACCGCGACTCTAAAGCGCGTTGCCAGAGCGCCGGTGGGGAGAATATACAAACCTTAAACATTTTTTTTTTTTTTACTTATTCTGATTTCTAATTCGGAGGCACCTCCTTTTGAGCGGCGGCTCCAAGTCCTCGGGCCCGGCGCTGAGCATGGGCGAGATGACGCACGGCGCCATGGCAGTCTTCTCGGCGGGTTTTGGCACAGGCTGGATCACGCAGCCGGTCTTGGGCAGCATTCGCAGAGCGTAGGCGTGGTCCTCGTCCGCGGGGTTATTCAGGTTCGGGTCTGATTTGTCGCCCCCCGCCAGGGCCTCCTCCCCTATCAGCTTCTTGGCCGCCTCCCCGTCCAGGTGGCAGTTGGAAGCACAGTTGTTCTCCTTCACCGACTCCAGCTCGCTCACGGCCGGCTCTTCGGGCGACAGCAGCTTCTTGGGGGGTGCGGGCGGCGGTGGCGGCGGGGGTGGCGGTGGCGGCGGCGGCTGCTCGGGCGGAGGCTCCGCGCCCTTGGCGCCCTCGGTGGCGGCGGCGGCAGGTGCGCTGCGTGTCCCGTTCACGATAACGTTGCAGGCCGCAGCGGCCTCGGGGCCTGCGGGGGCACCCGGGCCCGGGTCGCCGGCGGCGGGCGGGCTGCAGTGGCCGTCTCTGCAGCCGCCGCAGGTCCTGCGCTCGGCTGCGCCCGGATCGCGCTCCGCCTTGGCGTGCGCGTGCAGCGCGCGGTGGATCACGTTGTGCAGCCGGGCCCGGTGGCCCACGGTCAGGTCGATGACGCCGTCCTGCGGGCCGTGCAGCAGCATACTGCCCGGGAAGCCACCGCCTAGCGGGCCACCCGTGCCCGGGGGGCTGGTGGCGCGCCGCGTCAGGTCCACCACCTCGCTCCGACTGGGCTCGGCAGACGCCAGGCTCAGGGCCTGGCCCGAGCAGCCAGGCGGAGAGTCGGACGTCTTGGACGAGCCCTGCTTGGAGTCCCGCGGGGACAAGGAGTGTCCGCCCGGCTTGCCCCCCGCCGCCGCCGAGGAATCGCCAGGGGCGCTCGGAATGAAGTTCTCCCCGTTACTGGAAAACCCGTTGGGGGGCTTGGAGTCGTTGACGTGGGGGATGGGGATGGGGATAGGGATGGGCACTGGCAGGGGCACGATCACTGGGTATGGCACGAGCAGGGTTGGGGGTGGCACCAGCGGGGCGAGCGAAGGCAGCCCGAAGTTCATCATCTGTGGCACCGGCATCGGGCCGTTTGGCATCATGCTCACCGGCGGGAAGGGAAGACTGGGCAAGGGCGCGCCCGGCGGCGGTGGCGGGGGCGGAGGCGGCGGGGGCAGCAGGCCCGGGGGGTTCCCGGGCAGAGTGGGCGTGCTGGGCGGGTGGATGTGAGGGGACAGCATGGGCCGGTGCATGGGGCTGGAGGTGGGGCCCAGGTTGCGGGGGCCGCCAGGCGGCGGGGGGCCGAGGCCCGGCAGCATGGGGTTGGAGAGGGGGCTGTTGGGGTTGGAGGCGTGGTGTGGGGGCCCGCGGATGAAGGGCGGGCGGATCTGCTGCATGATCTGCTGCTCCATGAAGATGGGCAGCGGCACCGGGCCGCGGTTGGTCATCACCATGGGAGGGCTGCGAGGCGGGACGCCCAGTGGAGGCCCGATGCCCGCCGGAGGCTGGACGGAGACAGGTGGGAGGTTTGGCGTCTCGCTGCTGATGGGGATAGACTTGGGCACTGGCGTGGGGATTTTCGTGACAGAGCAGTTGGCAGTGTCGGAGGGGGAGACAGTGGTGGACGATGCCGCCGCCGCCGCCGAGGGTCCGGGGCCCTGATTTTGGCCAGCGGCAGCCCCCGGGGAGGGGGCCTTCCTGCGGGCATCTGTGAGCGGGAGATTCCAAGAGTCTGGCGTGAGCAGCTGCACCCCGGAGCCTTCTGCTTTATTTTCCAGGGGAGGGTGCAGTGTGCCGCACAGCCCAGCTGGAAGATTGGCCTGTGTCTCTTTGTAGAAAATGTCCATTTTGTATTGATTGAGACATTTGGCGCTGCAGAATTGAAGCCGCCTTTCCCCGTCCCCAAAATCCAGGTATTCTTTTGTGTGTCTTATGTGCTTACACCAGTCACATACCTACAACACAGCAATAGAAAAACCACACAGGTGAGATCAGCAAGTTCCTCGGGCAAAAGGAAGCTTCACCTCACACAAAAGGATTGTTTCAGATTGATTCACTTATTTTTTAAAACAGGCAGAAGGGGGGTTTCCTTTGAAAGGGCATATTCTAAAGGGTGCATGAAATGATAGGTTTGCTTTTTTTTTTTTAAGGTAACTTTGGGACAGCAATGATCTCAGTTTCCTATACCTCTTTAACTTCTTTTTCTTCCCCCCCTCAAGCATGATTTAAAGATGGATCTATACAAACAGGAGGATATCCCGGGAGTGGATCTGGCCTCCTATCTCCACTCTTTAAAGGTGAGGGAGGGAGATAGGGAATGGACCATTGTAGATGCCAATCTCAGTAGCCTGGGAGGCAAGCAGAAAGCTCCATGGACTTGCAATACATCCCTGCAAATTCCGCTCATGCGAAGTCACTTCAGTGTTGGATAATACGGTTGGAAAGGGTACATGGTGTTAACCAAGAATACAAAGCACTGAACATCGCTATGTCTGGCTTCCAAGGAGAACCTTGGAATTAGTTGTGAAGTCTGTGTGAGGTTCAGCTATTCCCAACCTGTGATGCTGCCGCAAGCCCGGATTATTTCTTGAGCTGTTTGCCCACTCTCTCTCAGTAGTCAGAATTTTTGGTGACATTTCTTGGCAGGCAGTCTTATTTAACAACTTTTCAAACACCAGAGAACATTTTCCAAAAGTTGTTACGGCTTCCCTCCACTCCTCCCCCCGCAACCCCCGCCTTCGTATCGACTCCTGGCAAAAGGAAGACATCACCAAATTTATTTTAAAGTTGGGCTGCAGAACTAATTAAAGGCTGAGAGCTTTTCCCAACTGGAAACCACTAGACATCAAAGTTCAAAAAATAGTCATTCTCGGCTTCAGAACCCATTACTTTGGAGAAATTATTGTGATTTCATTAACACATTAATTTTGCAACACCATCAGCTCTCACAGATGGTGAAGACATGATCTACAATTCAAATATGACTCTTGTTTGCACAAATGTCTTTCCTTCATATGGCATTTTAAACAAGAATTAATATGAGTAATCTTGCCATAGCTATAAACAGATAAACAGATGTCAAAATTTTCAATAGTTCTTTCAGTGCCTTACTTTTTTTTTTTGACAGAATTTTACACACACCATCTTTTTTTCTCTTCTTTATTCTTATTTCTATTCCTTATTCTTGTCCCTGTTTTTTTCTCTTCCTTTTTTTTTTTTTTTTTCATTTCCCTAGCATTCCAGCCACATAGCAGCAGAGGAGGGATTGTGAAACTGAGCAATGGTGGGCTTACTGAATTTAAGCCCTCCCCACCCCTCACCCCGCGCCCTCAAAGGCACTGGCTCCAAGACAGTTCTAAATGGAATCTGCTTTTGGCTCTTGGTGTTGCCTTGTTCTGTTGGTGGTGGGTGCTATATATATAGATATATATATATATTTAAAAAACTATCCTAAACCAATATAATTAAAAGATGATACATTTTCATAATGATTGGTCACATAAACAATGCATAAACAACATATGCTGGGCATTTGACTACTCATCTCATTTACCTCTCAGCTTTCCCTGATTGTAAACAGTGGTGGCCTGCTAGCACGTGACTGGGAGAACACCCACATGGCAAATGTGAGTCTGTATGGGTAGATCCGCTCTTTCCTTCTCACTCTCCACTCCCCACCCCCACTACAGCTTCCACTGGCATTTCCAGGTAACAAACCTGATGGGGTGAGGTTGAAGAGCGTACTTATTGGCACGCCTTAGGTTGTGTTTGGTCTCATATCACACTGATTGTTCACAATAATTGTCAACAAAAATTGTTGGGCAGTGAAAGATTGCCAAGTGATTTTGGTTGATGAGACAGGTATTTCCTCAGTTATCCGAAGTTTTACTGTTGCTGGAGTGGGGGGTGGGGGGGGACATGCCAGAACATTAGACTAATGGCTAAAGTCCTCGCCTTGCACGTGCCAGGATCCCATGTGTTCCTTATCCCAGCTGCTCTGCTTCCCTTCTACCTCCCTGCTTGTGGCCTGGGAAAGCAGTAGAAGATGACTCAAAGCCTTGAGACCCTGCATCTGTTTAGGAGACCCAGAAGAAGCTCCTGTCTCCTGGCTGCAGATTGGCTCAGCTCTGGCCATTGTGGCCACTTGAAGAGTGAACCAGTGGATGGAACATCTTTCTCTCTCTCTCTCTCTCTATATATATATATATATCTGCCTTTGCAATAAACATAAGCAAATCTTTTTTTTTTTTAAATGCCAGAACTAACATGTTCCAGTGTTTGACTATAGTGTTTTAAGTTCTGCCTGGATTAAGGGAAGCCTTTATTATGGTTGAGATAACCAATGTCCAGATACTGCAGAACTGCTTCTGACAAGTAGAGACCTACACAGTCCCTACCAAAAGCTGAAAAATTTTCTTCTAGACAAAGACTAAGAAAACTGATAGTAAAAACATGATTTGTACACACTTCTATTTTGGAAACATGATAATTTAAATAAAACTTACACATAATGATGCATTATAAGTTCTATCATGAAATAAAGCCACTTGCTTCTATTTCACTATTAGACATCTATGCAAATCCTAAATGGAAAATTCATAAGCTTAATGCAGAATCAAACACAGTTTCTTTACTAACAGACTATGAAAAACATTACCAGTAAATTAACGTCATTAAAATAATATACCAGTTTTTCTGGCATACTATTTGGTTCTTATTTTTTAATCATGAGGGGAAAGTTTTTCTGAAATCCTCAGTTGAGTTTAAATTGGCAGATTGAATCATCTGCCTCCCAAGAGTTCCTATTTCCTCAACCTAAATAAGTATTTTGAAGTGGAGTAAAAAAAATCTAAATATAACTGAAATGTCTTTTTCTTTCAATAATTCATTGAATGTTCAAGATCTACCCCAGTTATCAAGTGAGAATATCCACTATGTTTTCTTTATGTTCACATTAAGAGAATTACTGACATCAAAGTTAGGAACAAAATCCTAATATTCTCCTAGGAAGGCAAAGCCTGATGTTAGCTATCTGATGTTCAGCAGCACCCCAGATGAAGGTGGTGGTGTGGCACCTCATCGTGGCCCCATTCTGGAGTGGCAGGAGTGTGCACATGTCACCCCTTGCCATACTACATGTCAGCTCAGAACAGAAACCTAAAAATACAGAAAAGCAATCCTGATGAAGCAAAAAAAAAAAAATTATTAGACAGGGAAAAAAACTGTCACTTAAGAAATAATGAATCAAGTCTGCCTTACAGGATACATTATTTAAGATGAGGTCAATGAATTTATGGCACAAATGGCTATATCATGTGAGGCAATAAAAGGCAGTCCCATTATTCATTCTATCTCTATCTAATGACACACTAGTAGTAATTAAAGATTTCATCATAAGTGCCACTGCTGATTACTTAAGATGTGATGGTTAGATGAAAATATATCTTTCATCACTCTCTTTAATAAAATAACATTTGCATATCCATGAGATACATAGCATGTATCTTATAAACTGTTTTTTTTTTCCTGAATTGCGGTGTTGTAGGTATTTCTTCCTCTCCCTTCCGCACAGATGTCTTTAAATTTTACATTATTTTTAACAACTTTTTGAAGCAATATTTTTACTTCATTATGCCAAGAAGTACCAAAATTCCTTCAAGTATCATAAAAGCTGAAGAAGTGTGACATTAACTCACAAGTCCCAGGAATGATTTCTCCCGCGTTCCACCCCGGCTTTGTTCTGGATGGCATCTGGCCTCTTGGGTTCCACTTCCCTCCCTAACAGATCCAAGACTGGACAGAGGCTGGAACTGGCTCACGATGCCAATCTTTACAGTCAGCAAATGCGATGCCACTGAGCATGACAGCTGAAATGCTTTGTATCACGAATCCATCATGTATCACCAGGAAGACAAAGAGATCACAGGGGAGATAAACAAATGTGTACTCCATTCAACCCTGTAATAGCAGTCCTCCACAAAGATTAGATTTACCTCCCTGGGATGTGTCCAATTCTAAACAACAGAATGAACATTTCCTTGAGTCCATTTAGAGTATTTATATTTTGGTGGCTGGCGGCCAGGGTAGTACTTATAAGCTCAGTGGCCTGATGGATTCACTCCTTCCCCGTGAAATAAATGTGTGGCAACCTACACTGCTAAACTGCTCAAAAGACACTGCCTCAGCAGAAAGATCACTTGCTCTCGATACAAGAAAAATGAAAGGCAGAATTTCTGGTTCCTCTAACTCTTTCCATCTTATGTTTCTCCTGGAAAGAAAGAAAGCTATTCATGTTAGCAACTGAGCTTTTATTTTTACACAGACATTCAAAGTCAAAGCCCAAGTATGCCACGAGGTTACCCACATGGGCCCAATATATACACTCTGCTGGGCGTAAGAGTTGGATTCAATTAGCTGGGGGAGGGGGACAGAGTTCCTAATTAACACATTCATCAGCTGTCAGCCCTGGGAGTGAAGTTCATCCTTTTAATGGAACCCGCCACTACCTTGTGAGTGGTAATCTGACATCAGGCAGTATTTAATTAAGAAATCATTTTGTTGGAATCTTTCTTATCTAGTGTCCAAAACACATTTACCATACATGAACAGTTAAAAAAACTTAGCATCTTCTTAAATGCTGTCAACAATTTGAACCACCTCCTAGAATCTTCTTGTGCTTCTATCCATGAAGATAGCACCTGGGTTAACAGTTCATCGATTGTAGTTCTTTGAGCACATTTGTACTTTGTCATAAGAGGGTAATTCTCTAAGCCTAGGCATGTTGAATGTAGCTTTGAACTTATCATCAGGCAAGCTTGGGGGAAAAAAAATTACTAGCTCATTCAAGAATGAAGAGGATGCTCAGTGTTAAGATTTTGGGGCCCACCCCACCCACAAGCATTCACCTCCTGCAGGAGTTGAGGGCTTCTGCGTAACCCCACACAAGCACCTGCTC